AAACTTCCTTTTTTTAAGAGCTTCCTGTCCATATGGGTCCCTGTTTGCTGTTGACGAGAGACAGGAAGTAGATAAGGAAAGCTTAAAATTCCCAAATTATCTTGTGCAGGAAGTAAAATGAGAACTAAGAGAAATTATGACTTCCTCTTTGTGGGCACTAATCTGTGTGACTGTTCTCACAAAATCCTACATTAAAACCTTCGGATACATGTTTTTACCTCCAAATACAGTATATACACTGGTGAACAGACTCCTAACAAGCTATGTAATGAGGATTTATATTGAAAGCAACTCAAGAAACCAAATCTCCAATTTACTAATCACAATTTAGAGAAATGGACCAGAGTAAACTCCAGTCGCAGACCACACAAGGCCAGAATAACTGGATGTACCAAAAGAGAAAACTTTGACGTCTGAAACAAGCAGATTAGAGGAGAGAGTCTGCAGAAGCAGCTAAAGCTCCTCAACAAGATCAAACCAGGATCCAAATAATCCATTAACTTCTGTGGAGTCTCTGTCTTCACACATAAATAAATAAAAACTCCTGCGGTCATCCTCTCATATACATCAATGTACTTTCTTCTCCTCCCTTCTTTTTTTGACCCTGGTCGATTCGAATCAATAGACATGAAGATCTTGGTGAGAATGTAACAATAAGTGGCCTTAATCGAGCACCAGCAGTCTGGTCATTAACTATCCAGGCCTGTTGCCAAAGGAGGACATCGGAGTGTATATTATTATAATTATAGTTGTCTTGTTACACCCCAGCCTCCTGGTCCCTGTCACCCATAATATTAGTGTTGATCCGGTGTGTCAGAAGGTTTGGATTCAGACGGACTAAAATTTCGAATCCAGCTTTCAAGCAACAGTCTGGTTTTATCATGAGTGCCGACTCTGTGCCGCCAGTGTAGTTATTACTATTTCTTCTTAGCTCTGCTGTTTCTATATCGTCATAACGCCACCGTCCAGATGTGACTCACTGTATTGCATGAACACAAGGGCGTAGGTTTGAATATGTACGGTAGGGACATCTCCCTACCAATATCTGAGTGAACTCGTTCGCACTGTGTTTGGAGTGAAGTCACATTAGATCATTCCAATGTTTCCTCTAAGAGGTTACATCTCCAAGTCAACCGATTTAGGCATGCTATATTCTCTTTTGTTAGTCATTAGTTCATTTATATCATTTGCTTGTTTGTTTATATGAGTAACACTGTGGGTATTTGAGGTTATTTAGGTAGGTAGACAGATGTAGGACCAGCATGCACCTGGGTAAGCCTGTGGAGAGGCGGCAGGAAACATGACGCCTTTGTTCTTCTGTTTGTTATTTACTTGGATTGGATCCTGGTTTTGAGAAACCAAGTTACATAGTAGAACAAGAAATCTGACGAATGATGGATCAGTACACTAAAGTGAAGGGAAAATCTGTCCTGCCATGAATGCCTCATATTTCTCTTGGTTTCTCTCACGTTGCTTCATATGAGGCATTCAGAGGATCTGTTAACGACATTCAGTTATAATCAATCTACATTAATAATCAAATGTTACATGTCAGCACCATTAAGTTTTAATTGAATTCACAAAGCCATGTATATTTTCTTACACTGAAGTTGTTAAAAAGTTAATTAAAATAAAAAAGCAAATATCTTTGACCCTTAGATGACTGAGGAATTTTATTTTATTCTCCTATTATGGTGTAATTAATATTCAATTCATATCATTTGTGGACGTGTATCTTTACTTTCATTGCTTTCCAGATGATGGAAACACTATAAAAATCACTTTTCAGACTTATATTGAGAGATGTTTCACAGCCTATTTAAACTTATAATTATAAAGTTAAATAATAAATCAAAAGGTGTCAAATTCTCACACAGATTAAAGAAAAATAAAGTGGCTGAAAGAGCTTCAATAATAAAGAAACCAGATGTCATCCTGCTGTCAAAAAACTAATTTAATCAAAACAAAATGTTGATTCATCAACAAGTTTATAAAACAGTGATTTAGTTACATAAATAAATCAATCAGTGTATCAAATCTTAGTTTCAACTTCATGAGCATGTTGACATGGTTGTACAATCATTTACCTAACGCAATAAATAAAAGGGAGTAAAATCTGGTTTCTAAACAAAGAGGAGCTACTGACAGACTTTTAAAGAGACGACACTGAAAACAGATGAAATGAGCTTTTAAAGCACAGAAATACAGAGCCAAGTTCAGCAAAGAACGAAAAAAGACACCAACAGGTTGTAACCGAAGTCGGCTGGCGTATGAAAAAGGTTTGGTAGTTAGAACTCCCATTTGGTTATTTTAAAGCATTAAGACAAGGCAAGAAAGAAGGCTGTTCTCGTGTGAGGAATTCTAGAGAGAAATAAAAACAGTAGAAGAAGAGGAGAAATAAAATAATAATAAAAAAAAAAAAACACATAAAAAGTGTAAAGAAAAGTGGAACAGTCAAAACCTACAGTTTAGACCAACTTCCTGTAACGGTTTATTTAACCAGTTCTGTGTTCACCATTTATTATTCTGGAAATTTTCCTCCATAATTTCCTGCAACATAAGATGGATGTTTCCAAGAAAGTTTGTCCATTTCCCTTATCATTCGTACGTGTTGAGTTTATTATTGACATCCAGATACAGTTTAATGAGAGAAAGTGCTCATTTAAACCCCCAGTGAATATTTATTACTCTCAGTTTGTTTGCTGCTATCCTCTGATCAAAAGTCTCAAGGTTGTACTAGCTTAGCATTTAGAAATAACTGGATCACTTTAAATTTTACCGATAATTACTAACATATTATATGCTTCTTTCCAGGAAACATATTTATTATTTGGAAATGGCACCAAATTGCATAGGCCTTTCTTGGAGGTATCCTTGTAATTTACAGCTAAAAACAAGCTAATCTTCAGGAAATGATGAGGAAAATTTCCAGGAAAATTTGCTGGAAAACAAAAGGAACTCGTAAAATAAAGCCTTAGCCAACTTTCTGTCCTTCACAAAGTCGAGACATCAGCAGAGGAGGCGTGGACACTGAGCGTAAAACAGCTTCATTTTGTGAGCGAGTCACTGCAGGAGACGACGTGAAGAACATGGCAGCAGCTGCTCTGCCTCCACAGTCCTCTCTTTCTCTGACTTCTACCATCCTCAATACACTCCTGTGTTCAGGAGAATACACTCTTCCCGTCTTATGAGTGTCCAGTTTCTGCAGTTCATTACATGTCTGCAGAGCCAAACTTGCCTTTGTATGTACTACAGTTTGAACTGGCCCCTGATGCAAGGCGAACGTTTTGAAGTCCTTCTGATACGTTTTTTTTTTTCTTGTTTCAAAAACCAAAAGTACTGCAGCTTCAAGTATTGTGCCTTACATAGAATATTCTGTCATAAATTAGTTAACATATACATTTTTTTTTTCAATATTCAGACATATACTTTCATATATACAAGACAATAAAATGCTTTTCTCTTTTTTTGTCTGCTTTCTTTTTTTTTTTTTCTTTTTTTTCTTTTTTAGAGAAATCCCTGAGAATGTATGTTGACAGTTGCAAAGTTTCCACAAGAGCGAGCACTGTGACAGTTTGTCGTTGTGTTTCCGTGACAAATGCGTCTGTAAAATAAGCATATTGAACGTTTGAGACAACACTGCAAAGCCAAAAAAAAAAAAACAATCAGCCTGAAGATGGCCAGTAACCAGTAAAATAATTCTGATTGTGGATCTGGAGTTTTTACCTTTCACTCCGTTCAGCAGGCGGGGAGGCGAGGACTGGGTAAGGAGGGGGTGGGGGTGGGGGGGTAAAGCTGGATCCTTTAAAAAGAGGTACTCGTCACTTCAGATGGAGTTGCTCCGTTTGGTTTAAAGCCGTTTTGTTTTCTCTTTGAGGCTGTGAACGTTAGCTGAGGGACGTAGGAGGAGTGCAAGGTGGACATTTTGCCACTGGACAATACAGTATATACTCAGTGTAAAACTCTTACTCTCCTGCTTTCATACATGTAAAGGGAAACACACCAACTTCCACGAAATGACAGTTCTCTGCGTCTGCAAACGTAATGGTTTTATACACATCAAGACCAGGTGTTGCTTCTTTTTTTTTTTTTTCGATTTCAAAATTTACCCTAAAGCAGATTCATAACTAATTACTATTAACTTGGGCTGTCTAATTAGTTTTCCATCACTAAAATCAACCAAGGATCTGTCTGTGCTAATGCTGACACCAGTGCAGCTTGAATTAAATAGGAATTATTATTATTCCTATTATTATTTATTATCACATTAGATGAAAGACGCCTGCACCCTGACTCCAAGTCACAAACTTTATTAAAGGATCGAACCTAGTTGGAAATTTATCAGGTCAAAACTCTTCAAACTTAGATTTATTTTAAGTTGTAATGTCTTATCTGCTCAAATGTAAAATACAACACGTCTGCAGATTTTCTGAAGGGATTTCATAATTATGGGAAGGTATTGAGGTATGAAAAAATATCCATTTTAAGATGCTTTTTGTATATTTATTGATTTATATTCACATTTTCTGATGTATTGTTGATATTTTGATGAAATTCCTTTGTACTTCTACTCTTTGAGATTTAATCTTGCATTGTTAATTGCTTTGAAATATATATTGTGTTATATGTATGTTATCATATGGGTGTCGTATCCATTTTTAAGCATTGTGACCTTCTGCAAATCCGACTGGAAATCGAAACACTGCCTTTTTTTAAAAATAAGTTTTGTGGTTTGGAAGTTTGCAGGCGTAATTTTTTTCTCATTGATGCTGCTTTTTAAAATGGCCTCACACCTATACGTGATGTGCATATAATAACACCCCTTCAGTCCATTATCACATTTGACCCAGCAGTCCCAAATCATAGGAATAAGATTTGTGTGAATTGTTTTAAGTGGATTTTCACTTCAAGTTAGAAAGGATAAAAACAAGAGACTCAAGTAAAAAAAAAAGAAAAAAAAGAAAAAAAAAAAAGGGGCAGTTTGGTCTTTTGATACTCTTTCAACCGAATCTCTCTCGAACGAGCATCATGAGTTTCTTCTTGCCCTTGTATATCTGTTTCAGGTTGTCTATGAACTGTGTGAACTGGATGTGTCCGTCGTGCGCCATGAGAAACGTCTCTCTGGCTTTGCTAAGGAACTCGATGAACTCGCTGTAGTGGCGTGGGCTGATGTGCGTCAGCCGAGAGTGCGTCGTGTTGATGTAGGCCCCGATCGTGGCGTCCAGTAGCTGCCTGAGTGGAGCCTTGTCCAGAGACATCAGCTTCCCAGAGTTTCTGCGACTGTGCAGCGCCACCATGCCCGGCGTCGTTAACGTGCACCGCCGCAAAATGTCCGACAAGACAGTAGCGCACTTCACGCTCTTCACCACCAGGGGGATGACAGCTGCCAGTTCGTTTTTCCCCAACGAGTGGCTGAGCGCACAAGCCCAGAGCACGTCATTGATGGCCGGGTGTGTGTCTTGGTTGTAGCTGAGGTTCAGGTGAGTCATGGCTAATGTTGCTAGTTTGTACGCCCTCATAGGATAACCGCGGTGCTCCATGTAGCGTGCTATTGTAAACAGCTGTGTGTAGTTCATTCCTGTGGCGGCTGCATCCAGTACAATCTGATAGGCTGTCTCGAAGGCAATGTGGTCCTTCTCGCAGAGCGTCAGCGCTGACAGGGCACAGTTTTGGGGGTCCTTCATGGCACACTGCAGGGCCAGGGTGCGGGCGGAGTTGGCCAGGTTCTCTTGCTGGTGGCAGTCCAAATGCAGGCGGACGATGGTGCTGTTGGACATGACTGTGCTCGCCACGACACTGGTGGCTTCGGTGGGGGTGAAGAGGGTGAACCAGCTCTGCATGATGCTGTCCAGTGCAAACACACCTAGACAGAAAGGAGAAGAAATCTTAGTAAAGATTTAAATCTGGATGGAAAAGTCTTCTGCCTGTTTTAGAGTTCATTTGGTGTTCCCCAAGGCTCAATCTTAGGTCCCCTACTCTTTACATTTTATATGCTTTGTACTACGTGCTGTTTTGACAAAAATATGATATTCTCCTTCACTCTGGGTATTACATGGCCTTAACATTATACAAAATAAACCCTGGTTAAACAAAAAGGTCCAGTGATATTCTGTATTTTTCTTAGGGTTAACAAATCCCATGAAAAGACCGAAACCAACAGTAAGTGGGTGTTTCCATCCACCTGTTTTTATGGGCATTTTACACATAAAAAAATAAAGTGGTAATATTGAATTCCAAATATTACACGTATATACTGTATATATATATATATATAACAGTGGTGCTTTATTTATCCTAAAATCCCAATCCCACCATCCTGCTGGCCCAGACACTCACCAAATATGGATTAATACAACACTAAAAAAATATAGTCCAGCAAATGCACCATGTACTCCCGTTTGAGTAATGATTACAAAAACTAGAGTACCAAGCTGTTTTAGGAAATCACTTTCTTTAAAAATTGAATTCTATATTTGTAAGCTATTTTGATTTTAAAGTTTGAGATCTCTGAGTGCCACAGGCAGAAAGAAATTATCGAGAGATGGACTAACACGTTGATGGCTTTGGCATTTTCATGGAATTTGTTGACAAGAACAAAAATATAAAATGTCACCAGCCTTGTCCTTTAAATCCTGCAGTCTAGATAATATAAAACAGTTAAAATGACAATTATTTCCTTCTGGCAAAATTATAACGCTCTTTTTAGAGATTAAAAATCCAACTGCCACATGAATGTACAGATCAAATTACTAAAAATCCCTATTTTCAACCTGAACCTCTATAAAATCAGAATATTTTTCCATCTCCAGGGTACGTCAAACAAAATGTGTTGCCAGTTTTACAAAGGCTTTTTACCTTTTAATTCAATACTCTATTTCTAATGCTGTGACATTATACGGCCTGGCCCCACTCTACATCACCAACTGGCATGTTCTCAATGAATCCATTCAAACTCTGCTCACAGAAACAGGGACTCCTTTTCACTCCCTCTACATTCACAAGAAATCATCAGGGAGGAGGGTTTTCCCCTCTGGACCCAGCTTCCTGTCCACTTCAGGGAAATCAGCCGCTGGGTTTCAGTATTCAGGTCCAAACATAAGGCCCACTTAATCAGCCCCGAGCCCACAATCTTCCATAATTACTACGCTGCCAGTCATTCCTCCCCTCCTGCTGAGAGGCCTTCGAAATCCACTTTTAAGGTCTTTTGAAGACAGACCTGGTATTTCTCAAAAATCTGTAACATCTCAAGGCGTATACAGGGACACATCACATCATGGATACGTACATCTTTCCAAGTTATTTGAAACTGACATTTGTTAACATTTGCTAACAGTAGGCCTGTCGAGCTTTGGATTTCCCTGCATGTTGAAGCCGTGTTCATATTCAGAAACTCAAGAACCTGGATAGTTTTTACTTTAATCACCAATAATGAATGGATTAAACAGAGTGTTTGTCTGCTCTGATGTGAGCCGCAGCCATTAGACAAGCTCCTCTAACTAGCTAAATATAAATGTGTTTCCATCCACCTATTATTATGAGTATTTTGTTGAGTGAAAATGCTGAAAATATCAAAAAAGCTTTTTAGTTTTTGAGGCAAAATTGTGTAACTCTCACTGAACAAACTCCTAATATTTAAATAAAAGTCACGTACATTTTCTTTTGGACAATTTTTCTGGAAATTCGTTGAAATTTGCACCAAATTTGGACAGTAAACCTGTGTTTTTTGACTATTAACAGTAACCTAGCTTTACTTCCAAAGCGTATATTATGATTTATTGAGCTTGGGTCACAGGTTATGTTAGAAAAAGCCGTTACAGTTAAACGTTAGCGGCCCTGTCCTGTTCTTTACTTGATTTGGGGAAGTTTATGCACCAATAACCCCAGACTAACTCGTTACCCGAGATAACATTGTGTTTGTCAAACTCAGACAGACATGAAGACCTCATCATCCTAAAAGCCTTCTGTCTCTGAAAACATGAACAGTAAAGCATGAAACTAACCTTTATGTTGCTTGTCAGAGTATGTATTTCTGTAGTTACCATCCACACTGATTTATTTTAGAACAAAATCACATTTAATTGCCTTCGCATTTATGCTATGCTAAAATACTTGGGCTAACTAGCTCTAAACTGCAGTACAAGAACAGTGCTGCTCATTGGTTTTCTATATGTATCATTAACTGTTGAGGACACTAACATTTTTCTGGGATTTGATCGTCGGCTAGAAAGGAAAATTCAGGAATAGTTGCTTCAGAAATTTCCAGTGGTAAATAATCTGCCACTGTTATTACTGTAAACTGTGTGAGGTTATTTTCTTGTGGGAAAAACAAACTCACCAACTTCAGTAGCACAAGTGACGAGCCATCGCACCATCTCTCTCCTCCGCCAGTTCAAAGTCGAGAGGGTCATTCTCATCACCTGTAGGAAACAAGATATTAGCTCAGAGTCTGCATGATACGAAGTGTGTGTGTGTGTGTGTGTGTATATATGTGTTTGTGTGTGTTTGTGTTGCTCACCTGGAGGCCCAGCTCCAGGGAGACTTTGAGCAGCGTGATGTCCGGCAGGCTGTCCATGAGAGTGGCGATTTTGAAGGCATCCTGGGCCAGTTTGAAGATGTGGGATGAGGAGTGGATGTTCTTCTGGATGGACTCTAACACTGTTTGTAGCTTATGAGCATCGCCTGAGAGCACAACAAACAGATACAGACATTATACAGATATTCTTACTTGCCTGTAACATTACTAATGGATTAGTGCATCGCTGCCATCTTGTCAAAAAAATTAGTGCTTATTTTCTCATATTATAAAACTGTTCTTATTTCAAAAGGATCCTTGTCATGTTACAATGAGACATTTTCCATTTAATAATAACATTTTTCTGATTAATATATACCAAATTATACAACTCTTTTTTTGATAAAACTACAGTGGCAGACAAGGGCAAATGCGCTGCAACGGCCCAAAATAGAAACAAGTTGCAATTTCATAAACGATGCAGATTCAAAAACACATACGAAAATACCAAACAAATACAACAACGGCAACGTGCTGCAAATGAAAAACACACAAACCCCAAAAACAAATGGGACAGAAAAAAGCGCTGCATATTCAGACAACACAACGGAAGTGCTCCAGGCCTCTAGGGGGAGCGCTAAGTGGAACACCTTGACGTACGTGTGTGTGTGTGTGTGTGTTGGTACCTTTAGCAGCAGTGAGCATGGTGGAGGCCAGTTCACACTGTTGGGTCTCTATGTGGCTGAGAGTGAACCAGCGAGGGTAGCGGTTGGGCACCACTGACACTATATGGTGAGGCCGGGACAAGTCACCGGAGGGGGCCGTGGACTCCAGGACCGGCAACCTGAGCACAGAGGGAAAAAAAAAAACTTTATTAGACGCAGAAAGAAAAGACGTAAACACACAGGAACTGATCCGTCTACTCAGAGGAAGATCTCATGGAGGTGAAGAAGTTATTAGAGAGCAACGCTCCAGTTATAGAATCAATCAATAGTTTTCCTTTGCATGTCTGCCCACATAAACTCAGGTGGAGCTTCGCCTCAGGCCACAATAAAGACGGGTTTAAAAATAACAGCTCAGCTCCTTTTTTTCCTCCTCAAAACACACTCCTGATGCATCCAGTTATAACTGCTGTGATAAAGAGTTTCATATTCCTCCTTTGTAATTCAAGTCTGGAATTAAAAAAAAATGTAAAGATTTACATATAAAAAAATCAAAGGCGAGAGGAAATAGATTTTCCTGTGGCGGTCAGAGAGGAAAGCAACAGCATGTATTTATTATTCACACATTTTATAAAACTCGTTTTCTGCACTGTTGAATTATTTAGTGAATATTCCAGCAAAAGGAGGTTTTGTCATTAAACAGTGGCCCAGATAGCTTCCAAACTCTCTCCTGCTCCATGTCAGGAGAGCACAGAGAGCAGGAGGTGGATGACAACTCTCTGGCATCTTTAAATTTCTCTAATCAATCATTTTCAAACGTCAATACAGCTGATCTCATCACGCTGTGACTGGTCAGCTTAAGAGGAATTTGGAACATATGGATCAGTATCTGCTAAAACAATCTATCAATACTCAGTCGTTTCTTTACTGAGCTCTGCGGTGTTCTGTGGTGTTGCTGCTCTCCTGTACAACACTCAGGCCACACGGTGCAGCATTTCACTGCATATCAGAGTGTGTGGGAGTGTGTGTGTGTGTGTGTGTGTGTGTGTGTGTGTGTGTGTGTGTGCATGTGAGAGATTATTTGTCCACACTGGGGACTGACTAAGTTCAGACAGAGGTTGCATGTGTTTGCAAAGCTACAACGCTAATTATCATTAGCAAAGAGCAGCGTGCAAAGCATTCTGGTAGCAGCTGCTTCTTCTGAGAGTAACTTGATAACAGGCCAAAATAAAACTTGTCTGTTAGCAGGTTTGTGTTGCTCTCTGTGGAAGACGCTGCACTCTGTAACACCACTGAACGATCCAGTGTTTTTGTAGTTCCAACAACTACAACAGAGTGAGACATCTTCTCTCTAGTGAATGACTTGACATAATAATCAGCAGTTGAACTCGCACATCAATAATTGAAGATTATAAACTTAATAATTCTTGGATTTTTTAAGCCGGAGCTCCAGTATTTGGATCGAGTAGCTCATGCTGCAGCTGTTATTTCAACGTCAACTGTCAACACCAATCAGATTCATATTAAAGTAAATGTAAGCATCGGATCAGGTTTGGATTTTGGCAGATCCCCAATATTAAAGGACATCTCAAGTGTTTCTCTTGCTCACTGTGGACGGATATCTCTAATCGTTGACACCAATCGTTTTCTCACATAAAAAACAGTGTTGTAAGAATTAGCAGGTGAAACGTCGACATAATCTTGGGTCTTCTTAGACAGACAAGTGAGGTGGGTGTGGTTTATTTTTTATTTTTTCTTACCTCATGGCCCTCAGTGCAATTTTGTACGCCAGTTCGGCGTCGTGAGGTAGCAGCGAGGTGAAGAGATACTTGGCAAAAGTGTGCATGGGGACGCTTTCTCTGTAGAGTAATTCTCCCAGACCACTGTAAGGACCAGCTGCAGGAAACGGGGACACAACACAGAGATCAGTTCGGTCTGTGCACAGAGATGTGCAGCATGACGGTTCACATATGACTGGACTGTGGCCTTGTGGACCAGATATTTCCCTGCCTGAGACGTCAACAAGTTTTGATACCGCTGATCAAACGCGCAGAGCACAGAGAGTATGACTCAGCTTTGTATCAGTATGACGACGACTTTTGTTAGTCAAACACCAAAAGACTTTTGTCTAAGCCTGAAATAACATGAATTTGCACGTAGTGCAAGAGGGAAACTACAAGAATCACAGAACAGTTTGAAGGTTGACGGGTTCTAAGAAAATGCATTAAGATGGACCCAGCCTTTATTTCTCTGTACAGTTTGTTTGTCTTTGTACTTTAGTCAGAGCGAAACATGAAAAAGAATGAATGGCTAAAATTTCTTATATTATTTTCATAATTTTCAGTAAGTCAGTTAAATGAAAGCAGAGTTATTTGTGTGTAAAGATACAAACTTTTTAAAGTTCATTCTACATTTTTTTTCTTTGATATGAAGAGTTCATCTCTCTCGAGAGACTTTCTGACTTCTCTACCCTGTCTGCAGCTCTCATACGGGATTAGTTTTGTCTGTCGGATAACAAACCAGCCAATAATAATTGCAATCCATAATTAATATCAGCCCAAAGTGAAAATGTGAAATGCAAAACAAACATCTCGTGCATCTAAAATGCCAGGTTTAGTGTAACTGTGTTGCCTTTATTTGGTTTGACTCAGTGTTTCAGATCTTGGTCTTTACTGTAAATTGTCAAATAATCCAACACCTGTACTTGTGCACTCTGCCGCAAACCCACAGGTTACTACTTCAGATGTAAGTCTTTTACAGTGGGTCACAAATATATATACAGACATGTAAAATGGTGCATTCGTTCAAACCATTTGCTTTAATGACACAGAGTGAGCAGATGCCACATGCCTTGAACCATGATGAGCCACATCTTACACACACACACACCCACACCAGACACACGCATTCATCTGCACTACATCAGCAAGTACAAACAGTCAGAGTCTAAACACAGAACACACAAGTACACGGAGTTAAAACAACAGCACACACAAAGAGCTGGTTTGCGGTTACGGGTGTGAAAATGTGTCACTACTGGATTCGCTGAGGGGTTTAACATTTTTTCACTTTCTTACTGAGAGTTATATCAGAAGATCGATACCCTCATGTCCGTACAGTAAATATGAAGCGGGAGCCAGAAGCTGGTTAGCTTAGCTTAGCATAAAGAGTGGATACAGGGGGAAACAACTAGCCTGGTTCCACCTACCAACATCTCCAAGCTTTATTAATCAACACGTTATATTTTGTTAGTGTAATCTGTGGCGGTTTCTGAGCAAAAATACCAAACATTTGCTGATTTCATCCTTTCAAAATGTGAGCGTTTAAAGTTTTCTCATTGTCGTACACAGTGGTAATGTGAATATATTTGGGTTCTGGACAGTTGGTCGGACAAAACAAGACATTTGCTAATGGGTCCAAGGTGACACCTTAAATTTGTTATTTTGTCTCGACAACACAAAACCCCAAAATATTCTGTTTACTATCATATACAAGACAAAGAAAAGCAGCAAATCTTCACCATGTTTGAGTCTCACTCACCCTCTAGCAGGAAAACCGCTTGCTTCCGGAAGATCTTCACCAACGAGTCGCTCAGATCGACTTCTTGGAGCTTGGCCAACAGCTGCTCTTCGTTGCGACACACTTTCTCCTGTGCGTAAAGGCCGTCGGGCATCACCCTCTGCTGCCCCAGGCCAATCAGAGCCGTCTCCACGGCCAGCGACACGAACGACTCTCCTTCCTCCAGGAAACGCTGCGCGGGGGAAACAGGATGCTCCGTCTTCCTACCTGAAGCTAGCGAGCCTAGGGGGGGGGGTGAAGCAGAGAGGGGGAGGGAGACAGGATGAGAGGTGGACATGGGATTTTTTGGATCTGGTTACCAGGATTCCTTGAGTTCTGTGGCCAACGACTTTAGTCTTTAGTCTCCTTCTCTGACTCTGCAAGTATCAGTAAAGAAGAAAAAAAAAGTTTGATAACAATTTTATTGAATCTGAATTCTTCTGATCTTCCCTTATCAAATCTTTTTAAGGAGTTTGTTGGTGAAGATGTGTCCAAACAAACGACTTAAAAAGGATTCGATAAAGAATTCAGAAAGATCCAGATTTGATGAAGCTGATTCAGAATTGTATTGAGATTTGATAAAATGCCGTTGAACCCCAGCCGCAGTGTGAGTGACGACTCGGGGAGGAGAACGCTCCCTTTGGGCTGTTGACTGAGCTGAGTATTGATAGATCTATTGATCTATTTGTTCATTTTCGCGTTCCTTTTTCAGAGTGTGTGTTCTCCTGAGGACTGTAATCATGTGTTTTAATGGCTTAATGATGTCTTGGCAGACCTCACAGTTCATCCCAGGAGGGTTGACAGTCCCTAATGAATACACACACACACACACGCACGCACATGCACAGATATAAATAGCAGAGCTTTAAGTGAAATCTTTGAAGACTTCGTCCATCCAGCGGCTTCAACATGTCACTTCACCTACTTTCCAGGAGAAACAAACAGTGAGTGAGAGCTGACGCGTCCTCTCAGGCTGGAGTGTGTTGAAATTCGTCTTGCTGAGCTCCCTGCATAATTAATACATTTTAATTGGAGTGTTTTTCCTGCCGCATTTCTTATTCATGAGCTGTTATTGGAGGATGACTGCAGGCCAATCAGCGCGCTCGTGTCATCACTGCTGATTGCAAGCTGAGGGCCTGCAGCTCCAACAGGAAGACGCAATCACTGCAGTGTAAATGTGTGAGGCAGGAGAACGTGTTTGTGTTCTGTATCTGCAGCACTGAGCTGCTACTTGGTGCATTCACTACAGTTCTGTGCTTTAGTTTCGTTTTGAGGTATTTTGAGTATTTCTGTTTGCTGCTACTTTATGCTTCGACTTTTCACTGCACTACATTAACCTGACGGCTTTAATTACTTGTCAAATTAAGATTTTATACAATGAAATGCATTATTAATGACTAAACTAGTGGTTCTTAACCTTCTTGGCTTGTGACTCCTTCAAAAAAAAAAAATCTAACTCCTTCTCACATTTTAGATGCCTGAGTTCAACGTCTTCTTTCCTCTCCAATTAACCACCTCATGACCCCTCAGATTTGTCTGGTGACCATCTGAAAGGGCCCGCCCCTGAGGTTGGGAACCACTGGACAAAAACAATAACTGCATATAAAGCAGCAGCTACAACATATATAATTATTGTACATCAGTCAAATCCCTTTTTTCTGCATTGCGAGTACTTTTTCTTTGATACTTTAAAGTACATTTTGCAGATAAACGCCAACAACCTTTATGTCCTCAACTCCCTTTGACTGAACCTTAATTACTCATTAACCATCTTGTCCTCCTTCTTTGTATTTATGTTTCTAACATTTTAAGTTTCTTTAAAAAGGCTTATATTCTTTTATTTTGTATTTTAATGTTTTTATGCTGTTTTTCTTTCTTTTTTTAAATATTTTACTACATTGTGTGAAGCTCTTTGAATTGTTTTTCTGTATGAAATATACCACATAAATAAACTCTCCCTGCCTAAATAAAGGATCTGAGTGTGTATCAGTGTGTACCTGAGAAGTCGAGCAGGACCGTGGCCCCGTCCTCGCCGGCCTGACCCGTCTCCATCAGGGTGCTGAACAGTGTGCCGATGGGGTCCAGAGGGTGGCCCACCCAACCCTCCAGGTTGGTAACTGATGTTATGCCTTTATGGAGCAGCTCTGCAGTAACACATGCACACACAGACTGTTAATGAGCTGTTTACACTCTGGTGGTGTTACAACGGTGTTACACTGAAACGCTGAGTGTAGGGAGACAACGCAGAAAATGAAAATAAGTGCATACTTGTATTTAAAGCTCCTAAAAGCTCATACATGTGTTTTTAGAGTATTTTTATGTCTTACAACATGTCTGGATGAGATCTTTAAAAGGCGGAGCTACTGATACAGAAGATAATACAGAAATGGTTAATGAAGATTATGAACCAAAAAACATTTGTAGTTTTGTAAAACGAGCCTGGGCTAGCTGGTTAGCATGCTAACTTCAGTAGATGAAAAGGAGCGATAGAAATAGAAGCAAAACAAGGGGGTTGCTAGCTGGAGACAACTCTTGGCGAGTAAAGGAATTCTAGACTGGTCAGTAATCAGCTGTTGATTCTAACGTCGGCTACGTAGTGACACACACCGTAGCCTAAAACTTCCATATAGCACTTTCATTAAAGAATACAGTCATTTTAAGCTAACTTTTTTTTTTTTTACTGCTTTTTAGTGTCTAGGACGGTTTGATTGCGTCATGATTGACAACGCTCCAGCTGAACTCATATTAAATATGAAATCATGAATGTATGAAAGTTTATAGCCTAATATTAAATGTTCTGACACATGTGATCACTGGCTCCTCAGTGATGGATCACTGGAGTTATTTCTATGCAGTTTACGAATGAGCTGTGACATGAAAAACAATGAGTAAAGAAGCCTTGTATACACAAAGACACACGGGATGCCATGCTTTATATTCTCAATAATCATTAAAATGTTTTAGGAGCCTAAATACATACCTTAAAAAAGATTTAATAGCAACTTAATGGCATCATTTCAGTCAAATCAAACTAATTATAGTCATATAGTCCAAAATCATAAACCACAAATTTGCCTCAAGGGGCTTTACAATCTGTACAACAGTCAGTCAGATCTGGAAATACTCACTCAAAAACCCTTTAATGGGGAAAGAATGAGAGAGAAGAGAAGAAGCAGAGGAGAGCAACAGGGGCGGGATCTCTCTGCTATTAAAATGCTTAAATGTTAAAATAAAAAAAAATAAAAAAAGCTTGATGGAGGATAAACTGACCTTTTTTATGAGTGCGGAAGAACTCCAGCTGTTTCTGCTGTTGCCTCCTCAGTGTGTTGACTATGGCGATGGCCAGCCTGAGCGCTTCCTTGGGGTAACCGTGTGATCTCAGGGCGTCCACTCGGGCGCAGGCCGTGGGGACGTGCTCTGCGAGATGGAAGAAGCGGAGACATTTTCATTTTCTGCCTGTTCGGTTTCATCTCATTAATTTGACTTGTCTCGCCTCCGAACCACGTGCGGCCGCCTGCTCTCTCACCGTGCCACAGGGGCCACCCTCGGGCGTCGAAGAGGGAGCTGTCCAGGTTGTCATGGTAACAGTAGTTGGCATAGTGGTCCACGGTGATTATGTGCTGCAGGTGAGGGTCCTGCCAGTGCAGGTCGCAGGCCTCGATCGCTCGCGTGAACACGGTCCGGTGAGGCCGAGTCAGTGAGTCTGAGAGACAAGAGGTCAGGTGTTTTTAAAACCCACATGCTAGCACAGAGGTTTTCTAAGTGTGTGTGTGTGTGTGTGTGTGTGTGTGTGTGTGTGTGTGTGTGTGTGTGTGTGTGGCTGCTGATTTGCCTGGTTTATCGGCAGCTGGAGCTGCAGTTGCTGTGACAAACAGCTCATGGAGGCAATTAAGCGACTTGAAAAACCCTTAGCGCCCCATTTCTGCAATTAGCTTCAAAAACCATACTCCCTTCTCTGAGTCATAACTCTGTCAAATATGAACACACAGACATGATTCATATATTTTTTAATCCGGCGTGACATGCGCTTTCTTAGGACATCATTATCTTCATTCTCCACTGTGAATTAACATCCATAAACACGCTTCACAGAAATCACAGAAAAAAAAAAAGATAACTGGAGAACTTCCCTGAGAATCATCTTGTTTTTAAGATTTCTTCACTATGAACGTAATCCAGTGATAGTTGTGTGTACATCCATGAGTACACTGCAAACAGGAGCTGCTTTTACTTTTAATGGTGAGAATTTGCCAAAATCTAAACAAATATATACGTTAACAGCGCTAAAGCTGTAGCCGACAGCGTAACTCACTGAATCCCTGGCAACATTATACTTCCTGTTTACATCCCTCAAAACACAGGGACTAAATCTGAAAATTATAAATAAAGGTAAGACTGATAAAAAAATATTAATAGATAAAATAAAAAAATGTAATAGAAATGTTTGTGTGCTCGTGTTTTTCTCGGCTTCAGTGGAAGCACGAAGGAATAGAGGCCAGAGAAATCTCCAAGACCTCAACTGTGTTATTAGGCTCATTCTATTAGCTGCACTAAATGGGTAATAAGGCTCGCAGGCACGAGATTGAAGGAGGGAGACTTGATTAAAAGAGAGGGGGGAGGGTGGAGAAAAGCGACTTAAGTGTTAATACAGCAGCAGAGGAGGAGGGAGGAGGAGGAAGAGGAGGAGACACAGACAGAAACGTTCAGAACCTGAAGTGAGAAAGGATTTGGAAATAAAGCGATTTGATGTCTCTGCTTCAGCCAGGTGTCATCTCACCTGGGTTGCCGGGAGGGCCCTGGGGCAGAGCGTTGGTCAGATTGGTCAGCTCGCTGCCATGGTTACCGTCCTCCAAGGGGCAGACGTCCACGCTGTTCCACCTGCGAAGCTGTCGAAGCCAGAAGCCTTTCTGTTCGGGTTTACAGTGTGGGTTCAACACGATGCACATCCACAGGGCCCCTGCACAGAAACACACACATTTACAGTTAAATACAAAACACACACACACACACACACACACTGTACCCTCATAACATAATTCCAGATTTAGTGGCATTCATCAGTCTGTACACGAGGTAAACAAAGATTCACAGGATCTTTGTGTTTTACCAGTAATTCTAGAGTTAAAATGAACAGAGGGAAGTAAAGCTGCAAATAACTGAAAAAGTTTTAAATCGTTTGATAAATGAGGAATAAAATGTCACTATTCTCTGACGCTGCTGAGCCTTTTTCACTAAATCTCAATCCTTCATCAAACACAACAACTTAGATGACTGGATGATTTCAGCTCTTATGCCATGAATGACTGTTGGAAGACATTATTAAAACATGTCCATCGCAGCGTCCCAGAGTCTACAGTGATGTCTTTAAGTGTCTTGTTTTGTCCAACCAAAAGTCCAAACTCAAAGAATTTTAGTTCACAACAGCAGCAAACATTCCCACATAGAAACTGCAGGGAAAAAATAAAGAATAAAAAAAAAAAAATCTATTTCTGATTGAAGTAATCATTTATCATACTAGCAGCTGATTAATTTTCTGATGACTGACTAATTGATTAAATTGACTACCTGCATTTCTGGCTAAAAACATGAAGACACTGGACACAGATTGGAGGACAAAGGCAAGATGAGTATGTTGATAAATAAAGGAACGACAGGTGACAAAATGAAACAGGAGAAGAAAAGAAGAAGAGGTGAAGTGAGCGGGAAAAAAGGGGGGAGGACACGGAGGAGAGGTGAGGAGGAAGTGAATGGAGCAGGGAGGGAGGCTGAGGGTGGGGGGAGGGGACAGGAGGAGAGTCTCTTTGTTAAGGCTGCAGCAGGGACAACAACGAGCGGAGAGACGTGAGTGACGAAACGCAGAGCAACAACCTCCAGCAGCGGAGGGATGAAACCAAAAAAACAGAGGAGGGAAGGGGCAGAATTTTAACCTGCAGGCTAATTCATGATTTATTAACTAGAGGGTTTGTGATTAAACATTTAATACAACAGTTTTTATTATGGATTCAAATGTTCATGAGCAGCCAGCAGCAGACGACTGTGCAGCAGCAGAGACCCCGTTTCTGTGACCACTTACTCCAGTGCTGTATTCAAGTACAACTGTGAGTTAATTGGACAGAGATTTGCTGCTTTATTCTTGGTGTGGACTTCCTGTCACAAGTTTAAGATAGTTACTTCACCTCACATGGTTAGAATTAATTCATTGCTTGAGGCCTGTCGCGGAAACTGCATGAATATCATCGATAATAAAACACACAAAACACTGTAGTAGATGAGTGTGAAAATATATATTGTACGAAATAGAGGAATGTTCGCTTACACATGCAGAGTGTCGGCGGAGATTCCCCTGAACAATCAGGAAACTCCCTTTTTACACCGTAAAGGGAACAAAGAAATCCCTGTTTGTGTCAGTTATCTGATGATAACCCTTGACAGATTTATAGCCAATATCAGGAAGCAATCACATTTATCAGCCTCACATATATCAGAGCTATGGAGTAAACCACATGCTGGAGCGAACACACTAACACATACATCAGAAATACTTGGACATACAGGATATGTAATAACTTGTTATTGACATCCATTGCATGCCAAATCCAAAAATACCGATGCAAATAAACAGACACTGAACACATCATTACAGAAGCGCAACAATGACGACGACAACTACGCTTTTTTAGAAAGCTTTAATAAAAAAATAACTCATATATCATATGTAAAGAACCGGTAACTGGGTTTAATGTTGTGGTGTATGATGGTGAATGTGTGTGTGTGTGTGTGTGTTTTGTTTGGTTTCACGGTACCTAGTTCATCCCACAGCTGCCTGTACTTGTCAGTCATGGTGGTTCCCTGTTGCCGCCACAGCACCAGTCTGGGGTCGCCCATGAACTGCTCTGTGATCAGCGTTAACATGCGAGCTCCGTTGGAGTCCCTCATCCTCAGCATCTCTCTCACCTGCAGAGACAGGAGGAGGAAGGTTGTGGGTTTAACGCTGCCGCACAGCTGCTGCGGGGCAGTGTGTGATGTCAGCTGATGAACGTGCACGGCTGTCCGCCCTGAGGATCGTTACCTTGCTGAACAGTAAGTTGAGCTGCTTTCCCGAGCCATGGTACCCGCCCTGGGAGAGAAAGAGCTTCACCTGTTCCTGAACCTGTTCCTCGTCCAGATGCCAACAGTTCTCGTCGTCCACGCTCGCCCCCGCCGTCGGATCCGGAGCTCCTGCACCAAACAACGGAAATCAGTCAGCAGCTCATCTGATTTTCATACATTTAATGGTGGAAGAAGAACTCAGTCCTCTAAAAACGTAGAGGAGTACAAGTATAAAGTAGCAGGAAACGAAATACTCAAGTGAAGTACAAGTACCTCAGAATTGTATTAAAGTATTTTACTTGTGTACTTGGTTACTTTCCACCAATGATTGTTTATCACACATTTAAATAGAATTAAGTCTCTTTTCAGGGACATGAATACGTCTGCATCAGCATTTCGTTCATCTTTTGACCTAATGCATTAATGCAATAAGCTTAAACACTGATCAATACTATAAACACTGCAAATTCTGCATCAATAACCTTCCTGAGAATGCACAGCACTATTTTTAACACTTAACATGTGTCGCTGTGGAGCATTAAATCCATAAGACTCAAGCAAAACAGGTTCTACTATTTGCCACAGTCTCAGCCTCAGACAGACGTTATATTTACACGTTATATGGTGCTACGACACATTTCCCAAAATAGTCCTATTTACCACATACACATCTGTGAGGTATCCAAAAGTAATTAAGGGCACCACTCAGACACTACAAAATATGCCACAGTATATGAAACGTATGATAACATGTACCCAACACATACTCAAAACGTGTCCTAGATTCTATCAAAGCAACAAAACTACCACAAAAACAACCACCATGTACTGTAGAGATGAAATAATTAGGCGATTGAAAGAAAATTACTTTTTGGCAAATGATTAATTGTTTCATATACAAGCAAAAATACAAAACAACCAGTGGTTCCAGGTTCTCAAATATCTTTGTCGTGATTAGCAGGACATGTAGCAGGACAATGTATGACTTAATGTAGCTGAAATGGCAAAAAGAAATTCCACAAACCAGCTCAAGATATCAAAACTATATTAGGTAAAACCAGTAGGTAAAACAAGGAAAACCATAATATTAAACCATAGTACAGAGCTCACCCATAAAGAACCAAAAGATGCACCTTATATATTCTTCATATTGTACTATAGTTAAGTTACACACGTCGATGGAGCCATTAAAAGATGCTCCAATTACTGGTTTCAGATTACGCTGTAAACAGAGCTGCTTACATACGATGTTCATCACTCTCTTTTTGTTTCTAGTCTTTAGGATACAATATGCTGCACAGTGTGGTACTGAATAGTACTTGTGTAGCAGTCACTTGTGCATTTGTGTACTTTGTAGTACTTATATATGTACTGTACTGTAAGTATGTTTCTGTAAAAACCAAGACATCAACAGTTCAAAGACGTAACACAACACAAAGTCTCTTTACAAACTTTTCTGAACTTCATAAATTCCTGCAGCGCATTCAAGTCAAACTTGAACTGATTTAAGTTAATATGTGTGTGTGTGTGTGTGTGTGTGTGTGTGTGTGTGTGTGTGTGTGTGTGCGTGCGTGTCTTGCTATCTTTTTGAGGACCAGCGTTTTAAAGCCAAATAGTGAGGACATTCTGCACTGTGCAGACATGATGGCCGGTCATCACTTCTTTAAAGGACTGTTTGAAGGTTAAGCTTTGGTTTTAAGGTTTAAGGTCAGATTCAGGTTTATGTTAGAGTTGGGGACTAGGGAATGCATTATGTCAGTGAGGGTCCTCACATGTGTACATAGACAAATGTGTGTTTTCCTCCCATTCTCCTAAACAGCTTGTTGTTCCTGCGTCCTCTCCCAGGGCGGCAGCCTGCAGCTTCCACTGGTGCGAGACAGAGGAAATCTAACTCAGGTACCTGGTATTTGCTTGTGTGTGTTTTCCTTTCTGTGCTGTATATACACATTAAAGGGCGAGTTCAGCCTGTTCTTCTTGACGCCGCACTCACCATGAACCTGGTTGATCTCCGAGTTCTGCGACAGTATTTCGTCCGCCAGCTTCTGCGCCGTCGGCAGCACTTCAGTGTGATGCACAGTGATCAGGTACTGAACGAACTTCTGCAGCTGATCTCTGTTCATTTGGAAAAGTGTCTCTGAGATGGGCAGGCGCAGTTTGACCTGCTCGGGCTTCCGCACCCGGTACAGCGAGAGCGCCACAACATGGGCGCAGTAGAAGATATCTTTGTTGCCGCAGCTGCACGTCACCGCTGTGATTTTGCAGCGGTCGAAGCTGACGCTCACGTTGCAGACCAGCTCGGGCTCTGAGGACGTGGCGGGTTCCCGGACTGTGCCGCTGAGGTGAAACCCTGCAGAGAAAAAAAGGAAATAAGCAGTGTTAACATGCGGGATCCTTTAGCCTTAATAGCGCTACGGTAGATGTGTTTTGTTCACACAATCTCAACAAATTATAGATGGTTTGAAAGCTCCTGATGCAAAGCATTTTAGGATCTTCATATCACTGCAACAGCTCAATTCAGTAAAGATTTTTTTTTTTGGTGAACATGTTAGCAAACCATTGTTTATTTACACATCCTGCAACATGACCATTTATTTGGCATCATGTTTGTGTCTGCCTGATGAATCAAAATCCAGTACTCCTTCTCTTTTAGTTCTGATTTTGGTCTCTACCGACTCATGAGGGAAATATCTGCCACTGTTTCTGAACATGAACATGAGGATGGCAACATCAGCTGAGGCCTTTAAGGGACTGTTAAAAACTTTCTTTTTCAGGGGCAGGCAAGGAGGCAGCGAGCGCAAAGATCAAAATATTCTCATTTCTTTTTCATTTCCCTTCCACAACACCTCCAGTGCTAACCTTACCCTGAACACCTCCTCCCACTCTCAGGACTGACGCGATCATTTCACCACAGGCAGAGACCTGCTATTGTACAGTGAACCTAAAACCTATAGGTCTGTATGTTTGTTTGGGGAGGGTAAAGAAAAGAGTCAGAGAAACTGATTTTAATGTGGACGTGACCTTAGACTTTTTGAACTCACATTTCTCAAAGCCTTTGTATTTCATTTCCACATCAGTTTATACCACACACAACACGACCAGGTAAGTGTGCCCATGAAAAATATACAGATTTGAAAACGCTGGAAAAGTCCCACACTTAAGTAGAAGTACAGATTTAATGTACTGAAAGTATCAAAAGTATGCAGTGCAGTAAAATGTTCCCTGTGAGTGTTATATACATTATTATTACTCATACTTTAATGTTTATGCAGGATTTTACTGTTGCAGTTGGTAGAAGTGAAGGTACTTTTTTTACTATTTTATACAAACTAATGCAAATAATAGTTTTCATTATGAATTAATCTCAAAATTTGTTTTCTTGATGAATTGATTGATTGTTTGGTTTTTGTAAAAGTTCAGAAAATGGCAAGAAATGCCCAAAGTGTTTGTGTTATCCAACCAATGGTCCACAATTATTGAGATTATTAAAAGGAAAAGCAGACAATCCTCACATTTGTGCAGCTGGAACAATGAAAGATTATTTAAATTTATTTATCTAAACTAATTTTTTGTCAGTTGACTTATCAATTAATCGAATAATCTCTTGTGTTTACTTTTGGATGCTATAATAAAGCATTGTATCTTATCATCTCTTCATGTGTTTCATATACAAAAATCTGAATCTTTTAAGTCACCAGGAATTTAAGTAATCAGATAAAACTAGAGGGGTAAAAAGTCAAATATTGCTCTCTGAAATGTAGTGAAGTAGAAATGTACAGTGGCTGACAATAGAAATACTCAAGTAAAGTAACAAGTAACACTGATTTGTATTTAAGTACTTGAGTAAATGTACTTTCCACCACTGGAAAACACAGTTTTCACATTATCTCAGTTCAGAGGAGATGTGTTGGCAAAAGATGAGTCTGCAGCAACTTCATTATGACCAAAATTAGAAGAATCTGAGTATGTGATAGTATCTGTCTGAGTTAGTGGGTTAACAGCTATAACAGATGGCTTCAGAACAGAAGCGTGGCCAGAACATCGCTGATGCAATCAGTCACAGTTTATCATCTGTCTATGTACATTTAACAGTTTAAATGTCTGTACTGCTTCAGTTTCACTGTAAGGAGCACAGAGTTCTTGAATTAATTCACAGGAAGTTGCTCAGACTAAAATACCCCACAGAACTAGAACAGTATTTCTGACAAAAGCATTGTCTAATAAGTCAAGATACTCAGCCAGAACAGTTGTTTATTTAGTCGTAATGTTGTCACACAAGCTGAAAAACACACAGCGTGGCCGACCGTGAGGCTGATAAGTCAAATGCCAGAGAGTGACAGACGACAGACGAAATTATTAGACAGAAGTTTTAACCAAAGAGAAAGAGAAATCCTGTCGGTGGAGGAGTTTCTATTAAATATGAGTCCAGTAATCATGCAGCCAGTTTTAAAAACACCAAATAGGGGGACTTAAAGTAAAGTGATGGGGCGTCCTCCTGGCCGCCTGATGGTTAAGATGCCCAGTGTTTCCTGTCTTTATCTAAACTGTTAACATAAATGCAAAAGAAAAAGTCATTAAAAAAATAACTCTGCTTGCGTTGCACTGAATCTGTTACAGAGATTAAACTGAAAAAGATGGAGTCACATATTTTCATACTGCAGCTGTTACCATCACTATGCATGATAACAGCTGTATGGTTATAATGTGAAGTTGTTGATTTAACCGTGTGGTCATTTGCAGGATGTAGTCTGTGGTGCTGCTGAACTGTATTGCATCACACAGAGCGGTGGTTGAAAAGTGAGCAAAATAATTGAAACACTTGTCAGTATAATACAATATAACTGCACAGCACCACAAACTGTTGATTAAAACTCAACAGCATAACCGTCTAAGGGATTTATGACAGGGCTGTTGTTTTAGACTGTGTTAGTTTTATCTAGGTGTTCCTAATAACCTGGGAACTGACTCTACACTTTATCATGTTACATAAGTCTGACTAACAGCTCAATATGTGAAAAACACACATACATTTGCACAGAACACAAGCAGCGCTGTTCACGCTAGAACATTAAATGGCAGGTCTAATTTCCACTTTGCCCAAATGTTCTCACACATGTGACACACACCACACAGCTGACACATATCACCCCTGCTTGGTGGAAGAAAACAGAGTGGGTGTTTGTCTGCATATGTGGTGGGGCTGAGTGATATAGAAGTGAGCAAAAACAAAAAAGAGGCGGAAGGACTGGGAGACAATATCTGAGAGTGAAACCTGTGTAGAAATAGAAGAAAACAGTGTTTCAGTTCTTACTGCTCCCTTTCCTGCTGAGCAGAGACACACACTGAATCACACTTCACACAACACGACCATCAGTCCACATCCTGTCTTTTACAATACACAAACACACTACAGAAATACATGGTGCTCTCCGTTACGCAGCCCTGCCCCAGTCACGCCTGGCCCACAGCTGAACTACTGACGTAACAGAAAGAGAGAGGGTGAATCGAGGAGGAGGAGGAGGAGGAGGAGGCTGGAAAAATCGGTATGCCCTCAGCTGAGTGTGAGTGTGTGTGCACATGCAGCAGTGTATACTTGGCGGCGAGCCAAAGCCCTGAGCTCAGCATTCTGTAATGCACTTCCTCTCTGTGTGTGTCTGCGCTTCACAGCTTGCATAATACAGCCCTGTGCACTGCATAGCAACCAAACTTAACTCCTTCACTCCCAGCGGAGCATCATTTCAGACAGGGGCGTCGCGCCAAGTTACCAGCACTGGCGGAAAGTAACTAAGTGCATTTAATTAGTTACTGTATTTTCTTTTCAAGCTACTTTATACTTCAACTCCACTTTTCAGAGTCAAATATTGTGCTTTACAGTACACCGCTCATTAAACTCATTATTCATACACATGAATGAAATAATTATTATACAATAATATAAAGAAAAAGGCCAATCTGGAAGAACAACTCAAGAGCTTTACTTTACTTGTGCCAATACAACAATGTAAAAATACCTCAGCACAAGTAAAAGTCCTGCATTCAAAAGGCTGCCAGCACAATGTACTCACTTACTAAAGTACCTAAAGTCGACACTCAAAGTGTGAGTCAACATTGTGAATCAATCGATACATCTTAAATGTCTATATGACAACTTTTTATTGGCTCTCTTTCATGACGTACGCGTCAGTGATGATTGAATCATCAAGTGCTTAAAAAGTGTACATGAATTTCAACCGAATTATGTGAACTGTAAGTTTTCCATTTCCTCACTTGGATAAAGAAAGTGGCGGAGAGTCAGTGGGAGGAGCCCATGCACATGCACGCCTTTATGCACACCCCAAATGACAGGCACACAGAGAGGGCCAGTAAAAACATTTCTATTTTTTACTCAGACTATGAAGGGTTTGTTGTACCTGAGTGTTGCCCATGCGTAGTAAGCCAGCTGTGGGAGTTGAGTTAACTTAACTTAATAATAGCTAGTCAAATCTACCTTTCTCTCTCTCCTCCTCTTGCCTTGACCAAGTGTCGCCATGTGTCTCCGCTTTATCCATTGTTTCAAATTAAAAGCCCTCTGCAGAGTTGTGTAATTGTATGGCACCGGTGGCAATAATTTTGCAGTGGTGGGTAGCTGCCGCAAAATGTATACGAGGGAAACACTGAGGTACATAAGCTCTCCCAATAACCTGCAATCAGACACAAAAACATTTTAATAACTAACATTACTGCACCCAGCAGGCAGGAGAAAATATTTAAGACTCTTGTGAATTACATCTAACACCTCCCTACATTCAGTGCTTTTTCAGACTTTTCAAGCCCCGCAGATACTGATCACACACTCGCCTGGAAACCGAGGGTTTAACACTTCACTCCAATTAAGCCCGCGGTAGTCGACTTAACGCGTCTCTATAGGATTCAGCAAGGACGATGGCTCTGTGAGGAGGGGGAAAAACAACGGGGTGTTTTTGTGGCTGAAAACAAGGCCAGGACGTTAGCCTGTGAAAGAGCAGTAGCTCAGCTCCCTACAGAGTTCAGCCTGAGGAGACCTTCGTGCCAGAGGCCGTGTGCAACATCACCCACTGAAACTGTGGCTACAGGGGGTCTTTCTCAGCTATGTGACCAAAGCCCCATTTAACAGAGCTAGCAGCACACAAAAGCCAGATAGACCCTCCCCACCCCCCCACACTACATTACACACAAGCACACACACCAGCCAGCCATTCAGGCAGCTCAGCCTCCAAAGCTGGCCACTCAGGCGTAAGTGAGAGCCTCTCAGCCAAGGTGTGCTTTGTGTATGTGAGTGTTGTGTTGTGTGTGTGTGTGTGTGTGTGTGTGTGTGTGTACTTTTGATGACAA